TATATATATATATATTACAGAGGGATTTGGCTCAAGGGTAAGGTTAATGATTCCTCAATTTACACCAAGTATCAAAGCAATCCATAAAGAATATAAAGACTTCATTAAAAGTATGATAGCATATGGATCCAAGTCTAACAAGATTAGTATAAAGATATGATAGCATATGGATCAAGTCTAACAAGATTAGTATAAATAGTGACATGTACTATACAAAGGTAAGAATAATAGAATACTCTTCTATATATGTAGTTGATGTTAAATAATTAGAAGAAAGTTTGTAATATTTTTATTAGTGTCAAATTTTTAATATACAAAAAATAACTCAATTATTATTTTATCTCTAAAAAAATCTGAATGTTTTTGGAATCGAATCGTCTTTAATTTTTCTTAGTTTTAGACCAAAATATAAAAAAAATTTCTCTTAAATTTACTTTGGTGACGGGGAAAAAATATATTAGTTTATTAAATATAAGATCCAAAAGTGAAAAAAAAAATAGAAAAGATTAAATCTTAAATAAATCATACTTTTTAGTGATAAAAATACCTTTAAACTCTGAGCAAAGTATGATATTAATAATTTGACTAGTCAATGTTAACCAAAATAAAGTTTCCCTTTTGAAAAAACTACGTCCCACATATCTATTAACTTTGTGAAATATGTAAATAACTTAAATTTAAAACTTTATTTAAAATAATTGAGTTCATATAAAATTAACAATTTATTGTACACTGATTAGATAAAGGTTTAATATATTATTTGGTTTTTAATTTTTTTTGTGAATTTTTATTAGGTCATAAATTTTAAAAAAATTATAATTAGATCTTTCATTTTTTTTATATTTTATAATTTAGTTTTTGAACGATTCATAAAATTTTATAAAATACTTTTTTTTATATATTTATATATGAACAACTATATCATATTATTATTCTATATAACTATCCATATATTTTTGAATTCCTATATGTAAGAATTCTTTCGTAATCTTTCTAATCATAAAAATTTTATAATAATAACAAATTTTTATGAGTAAAAATTAAAAGATGATGCATATGAATAATGATATGAAATATCAATATGATGTGATTGCCAAATTTAAGAATATAAAATATTTTATGAAATTAAATTTTTAACTTTATAAACTAAATTACAATAATGTAAATACTTACAACTTTTATTTAATTTATGAATGCAATTGAACAATGTCTAAAAGTTCAGGACCAAACCATGTATTAAATTATATTGTGTATTATATTTATAACTTATTTAAGTCAGTTTCTTTCTTTACTTTTTCTCCAACTTTTAAAGAAAAATATATATATATTTAACAACGAAGGAAATATAAATATTTACGATCTGTTTAGTTTTTAGTAATTATTTCCATTTTTCTATATTATTTTTACTTTGTTTTGAAATGTAATAAATATTTATAAATGATTTTTTACCATTTTATATATCATTATATAATTTTTACCTTTATTATTATTAATTTTTTGCATCTTTATCTCGAAAGAATCTAACATCACCATATTAGATTTAACTTGTCTAAATTTAGGGTGCCCTTTGGGAGATAAAGTGTGCTTATAGTTATTGATTAACAAATTAACAGTTAAAAATGTGATAAAAAAAATTAAATACATATTCAACAAATTTTAAAGTTAATTACAATCAGATGATTTTCTAATAACTATCATTAGTGCACATTATCCCTATTAAGTGCATTTTGTTACTTTAAAATAATCAAATTTAATATTATTAATTTGCAGGTTGAAAGTAAATCGACAATTATGGATAAAAAATAAAAGTAAATCGACAATCGAGAGTAACTAGATATGCATATTTTTAATTAGTCTATATTAATCACACGAGTCAACTACTATTGCAAGTATTCAAACATGCGTATTTTAGTTTTCTTATATATTTTAAAAAAATACCCTTAATATAAATAGGGGATAGGAATATGATTTATTTCTCACAGTGAAATAACCCCTTCCCAGTTTTCTCTAAACTTTTTTTAGGAGTCTTATTTTTCATATCCATGATGAATTATTTTTTGTCTCTCAACAAAGAAAATGTTGAAAAGAATGAGAGGATTCATCCAAGGAACTCTTGCAATCAAATGCTCAATAGGTTTCAATCACTTAGGGATCACTCAATGACACCTCAAGGTATGCAACAGAGACCTCAAAATTGTCCTCGTCCTCTCAATTTCATGCAAGGTACCAACCAATACACATTTTGATATTTTCTTAAAGTTCTTCATTAGAGTGAATATACCATAGAAAAAATACGTTAATCCATTGAAATATGGAATGTTAGAGTGAATATTTGCGACAATAAATGAATAATTTTTATATATTTTATTTCGATTTTAAGTCTACTAATAATATTAAGATTACTGATATAAAATATTGTTCGTTTTAACACTCATTGAATCATCATAATTTTATTTATAAATAAATATTTCTGTTTATAATTAAAATTATTTGTTAACTCATCAAAATGAACAATATTTTAAATGTAATTGTTCTAATGATATTAATAGATTCGAGATTGGAACATGTCTAATACTAAAGAATGATTGATTATAATCTTAACTATTTTATTTATAATTAATTTTTCACATTTTAAATGTAGGAAAATGCCAAGACAATAATAATGTAGATGTCAAGCCTCAACTACTGATGCCACATGTCTTCTCTGGCAACAACGTTAATCTCTCAAGAACAAGACATGATCAAATGTTGCCTTTTGCTCTTTCAAGTATTGCTCAAAGACAAACTGATTATCGTAATCTTATGAGTCTTCCATCTCAGACAGACTCAAACAAAAAAAATTTAATCAATAGTGTCGATTTACAAAGTCATACAAGTAGTTTTCTTAATCCCTCAACAAGAGCTACATTTCATAACCAAGAAAACCTTTATGGAGCAAATTCTTTATATCCAAATGATCAAAGGAATAACTCTTCAATGTTTAATTATTCAAACCCCCTTCCAAGGGTTAACATGAATACTTTTCATGCAAAAGATATAGCTAAGCCAAATCTATTGCCTCCAATTCAAATTCAACATTTGAACTTGCTTTCTTACAAGGATATAGCTCAAGAAAAAACAATGAAGCGTCCTTGGTGTGAAGTTCAAGAGAATGACATCATGACAAGTGTTTCAAAAAGGCAAAGGATGAACTTTACTCCACCTAATTATTATGAAGTGCAACCTGGAATCAAAGAGTTACTTCTTTTCAAAGATGAAAAGCATTCAGTTCTTAACGTCAAAATTAAAAATGATGCAAAAAAGAATAATGTTAGGGACAATTTGGATCTCTCGCTACACTTGTGAATCATGCTATGTCATACATCTCCTTTTAGTTTAATTAATATCTTTTATTCATGTTTTTAAATAATATTTATGGCTATAATTCTTAATAAAGATGTATTTCTTTATGCATTTGTCTTATACAATTAATGGAGTTAGCTTAGTAGTTAGGGTAGAATGCGTATGATCATAAATTCAAAATCTATTCTTGTCATTGTAATTTTTATGAATTTTTTTTTATCTTCTTGTTTTCTTATACAATTAATATGTGCTGTATTTGTTTTTCTTCAAATGTTCTTTTAATAAAAATAATATATATTTATATTATTCTTACAAGTGTATTTTTCTTTTTTTCTTTTCTTCTCTCTCTCAATAATGCAACAGATGAAAAATATGTTATTGTGTGTAAATTTCATTAAATACAAGTAAACTTTATTTTCATAGTAATAATGAACAAAGTTTGGATATTATACCTAAACAACTAAGCACGGCAATTACAAATCTACTAATAATTCTTAGAGGACACCAAACCCTCCTCAGTCCTTGTCAAGTCTACACATATTTCTTTATTTTACTTGTTTACCATTATGACACTCATCTGTTTGGTTTTGACCCATATTGCTACATTTATGATAGGATTCTCTCTCTATGTACTACAATATCTTTATATTAATACAATTATTTATAATTATATATTTATTTATTATATATAAGGTTTTACATATATATATATATATATATGATATACATAAAAATATTATATATCATAAATAAATGTAATAATTTATGTACAGAATCTTCTATGTAAAGTGAATCATTGGTCTGTTAGTTAATATTTATAATTTTAAACTTTAATAATTTATAAATGTTAAAAAATAATGTTAAAGATGATTTTTTAAATTAAAAAGCTGTATAAAAAGTTAAAAATACACTAAAAATTGTTGTATAACTAGTCGCACAGATTAAGTATATATATAAATAAATAAATTATATTTTAAATTTATGATATTATTTTATATTATATCACAATATTATTTTTATTTATTAATAATTTATTTCATGAGTTTAGGAAACTAATTAAGTTAGATGCTGCAATAGAAGTTTTTGAAGAATCTGAATGGCATTAATTCAGAGCATGCTTTTAGTCACATTTAAGATCTTAACCTTCCTTCATGAGGTCGAAGATTAAAAGTTATGGTGTTAACATATTAATTATTTAGAAAGCTCCACCTTTAATTAATTTTTTTAAAAGTACAAGATAATTGTTAAATTTATATTTGACATCATGACTTTAGTTATCTGTAAAGAATATGCTGCCACTATGGTTGAAGAATATGGTGACATTTAATGTGGCCCCCTAATATTGAAAAGACGAATTTAGAAATAGAGATGTAGAAAAAGTAAAGCATCGATTAAAGGCATGACCAAAAAAGTTCATCAAGCCAAAATACTAATCACATGTCCACAATTCCTATACTTTCTCTTCCTGTGATGATGTCCCACTTTACCTCTCAACTTTTTTGCAAATCTTCAATATCTTATAGTTTAATTATGTGATATTGCTTTTGTTTATTTATATAAAAAAATGAAAATATTTTCTTAATTATAAGAGATATAGATTCACCTTTAAATCTATAAATTGTTAAAAACATAATTATATCCTTAATTATATAAGAATTTTATTAATGAAATATTTTCTTATTTTCCTTTCTTATAAAAGTGAATTTATTCATTTAATTATTGAGATATAAGCTACGTCCATCGATGAAAAAACCAATCAATGAATTATGGTAATTTTATAAATATGTTATGAGTATCTTTGTAATAAAATTTAAATTTATGATATTATTAGTCAATATTGGCTTAACTATTTTTATTAATTTTAAAGAATAGAATAATTGTTATTTTAATTTATATATATATATATATATATAAAACCAAAAGATACTATTATTTTAATGAACTAATATATGTTTTTGGTTTTTTATTTATTTAATTGGTTCAATTTAGTCTTTTTTTATAAAAAAAAATTAATTTGATTACTTAATTTTAAAAAAATACGTAACCTTTTAATTTTTTTTAAGTAAGATTAATAACATTAATTTTTTTTTTGTACACATGGTATGTGTCATTTTTTATTGTGTCATAACTTAGAGTTATTGTATAATATGATAATGACTTTCTTATGTAAGAAAGAATATATTCATCTTAATTCTTAAGTTAAAATAAACACATAAATTGAAACACTTGTTTAAAATCATTATCACCTCTTATCACTAATATTTTATCACTATTATCATTTTTTTTTGTTATCATTATTATTGTCCACACAATAAATATTATTATTGTCATTGACCTTGTCATCTTTATTATCATTTTTTATAATGTCATTACTATTAAAACATTTATCATTATCATCATTACTTATACACATAATAGTGGTGGTATTTATGGTAGTAATTGTAGTTTTAAGTTCTTACGATCTCACATAAGAATCTATTCTCATTATGTATGTATTATGTATGTGTGTGTCTCTCTATATAATATCTTCTCTTTATGAAGAAATTAAATTAGTTTATTGAATAAGAACATTTTTAAAGGACTACTCTTTAATGATAGTTTGGTAAAAAAAAAAAAGAGATAACTTTTTCTCTTTCAATTTATATTTATTATTTATTTTAAATTAAATTCAATATTTTTAAAAATTATCTACAGGTAAAAGTCATCATATATCACAATATAAATTATTTATTATAGATTTAAAATACAAATTATATTTTTAATTATAATATAATGTATATATTTAAAATATTTTTTTGTTATAAATTCTAGTTTATATAAATAATCTTTTTATCATATATTATTACATATATTAAAATACTAGTAATTAAAAAACAAGCTAGTTGATTTAATTATTATTAGGTTATAAATTAGAAGAAGATTTTCTTAAATTCAAGAAAGTATCACACTTTTAAATAATCATGTAACAGAGACACTATTTTCGCTGTTCAATATTTACCAAGTGTAGCAAAGTTGAAACTCAGAGAAACAATAAATACATTAAATTGATGTTTTTTTTAAATATATAATTAGTGATTTTTTTTATGTAATGGTGAGACAAATAAATGTTGACTATTAGATTTTATTTTAAATAGTCAATAAACACATTAAATCATGTGAGTTTTTTTCCTTTCCTTTTTTTTGAAGTTACGCAACTTCTTAAGTAATCACATGATTGAATATTCAAACATGATTATACACGATTACATAGATTTTTTTTCTTCTCTTGTTCTCATATTATAAATAACTCTCTCTCGAGATAATCACTTTAATCATTTGCTTATGAAAAAGAAATAGGATAGAGACAAAATATAAATGAGTAAAAATAAGAAGTTGAGTATGTTTGGTAGAGAAAAAAAAAAAGAGAGAAGAAAATAGGGAAATAAAAAAGTGTGAGTGAGGCCCACAAATTATTTTCATTTTATATGTATGTTTTTACTTTTTTCATTTCTCACCATTTTTCATTTATCTATTTCGGTGTTTATCTACTATTTCTTTTATCTTTCATTCTTTCTTAATGGGCGGATCCTAGTGTCATGCTTGGAGAGGGAAAGGAATTCAAATGTCAGAGGAAGTATCTAATAATTAATTTGAGAAGAAATAAGTAGTTAATAAAATAAAATTTGTAATTAATTATTAGAGTAAAATTATGTTTTTGGTGAATAGAGACATAATTCTAAAAAAAAGTGAAATTGTGTAAAAAATAGAAAGGAGATGATATTTTAAAATTGTATTTTATATATTTAATTTTTTTGTATATAATTATTATTACTCATTGTATCATATCCAAATTTAATGATTGTCACATATAATGTCTTATTCATTAGTCATATGCATTACCATAATACATTACGGACGAAGGAAATTTTGCTTCTAGTAATACTATTCGTTTGGGGTGTGCGTGGTTCGATTTTAAAAAAAATCAAATCGAATTATATTGCAACATTTTATTGAATTCAACTAGTTTATGAATTATTTGAACCATATCAATAAATTGGTTTAAAACTAAATCACTTTTATAAACAAGTTCAAAGTTGGCTTTAAATTGATTTCAAAACTAATAATTTCAATTCGATTTTAAAAATTGAACTAGTTTTAAACCTTTTTTTAATAAAAAAAAGTTTTTTTTTCAAAAATTGTGAACCAAATCTTGATTTATGCTTAAATAAAAAAATAAAATTTTTTTACTAGTTTGACATTTTAATCAGAAATTAATCAAATAAATAAACACATCATAAAAGGTAGAATTTTTATTTATTTTATTAACAAATGTTTTTAAAAGAAAAAAGTTTACAAAAATGAACCCATAAAAGTCAACTAAAAAATATTGAAAAACTATACCTATCATGTAAAAAGTTAATCATTTACATTTACTTCAATTGTCTAAAGACAATAGAGAAAAAAAAAAAAGAGCAAAAACACAATAATTATAAGTAATATTTAAATATTTTATGTCTATAAATCATTAAATCATGAGATGTGAGAAATATAAATAAATTATTTTTATTTAATTTAATTTTATTATTATTTAAAAAACAGTGCATTGAACCTAATCACCAATATGATTTGGTTTTTAAAACTCATTTTATGTAAATAATACAATTTTTTTTTTCAAATTGGTTATAATTTATTTTAAAATAGTGCAATTCAGTTTCAAATTTAAACTTGTTTATTTGATATTTTGCACACTACTATTACCTATTATTATAATGCGATGCCTATTAAAGAGAATCTTATTTCTTTAATTACAAATACATATGATACAAAAGAAATATAAAGTTATTTTTGTCTTATTTGTTTAATTTCATGACAATCTCCTTTTCTTAAAGAGTAAATTTTTAAGTATGAGACCCACCATTTTCTCTACTTAAATATTCATTAATCCCCTCCTCTAAATACCAATGTTTTTTTTAATATATTCTTCGGTCCATCTTATAATCCTCTCTAAATCTACACTCCAAGCATATTTGAAGAGTTTTTGCAGTATTCCAACTCCATGAAAATGCATTATTTAAAAATAATAGTCTCAGCATCTTCAAAGAAATTAGTTAGTTTTTTTTAATATATTTTACACTATCAAAATAGTTTTAGGGAATATTAAATTTCAACCAATAGATATATAAAAAAGTAGCTTGGATCAAATGGGAATCAAAGACACTTATGTCTTCAATAAAGCCCTTTTTAGCAAATGGAGATGGCAAGTTCTAAATGGTGACAATACTTTGTGGGTAAAAATCCTTCAATCCAAATATGGAAAGCTTCGAAGTAGATTATCTACGATGATGGGATCAAATGGGTCACAATGATGGAAAGTTATTATGAAGGTGACGTCAAAAGAATGTACAAATACCTAGTTTAAAGATAATATGAAGGCAATGGTGGGGGATGACTCAGTGTTCAAGTTTTGGGAGTTGAGGCAAGGGGGCCAAATAGTCTAAGAGTATTATTTCCTAGGCTATTTTCCCTTGCGAGTCAAAAGGAAGCCTTAATCCCAGAGGTGGGAGTGTGGCGCGAGAATACTTGAGAATGGAAGTTAGGGTGGATGAGACCTTTACTTAGCTGGAAAATTGGTAGGGTGGATGAGTTGATGAGATGGCTTGTAGGGATCCGGTTAAACTAGGAGCTAAAAGATGGTTGAAAGTGGGAAAGATAGTTTGGCAAGGATGAGGACTACTTTATTAAAGAAGCCTATAAGTCAATCCACACTTATTGTCAAGGATAAAATTATGCCTTTTTTAAGGTCATCTGGAAAGAAAAAGTATCGTCGGCTTCCAACATAGGTAGAGTTGAATAAAAGAAATGTTCAAGCTACTAATGACGAGTTATGTCCTATCATCCTACCTGAGCCTAAAACTATTTCACACCTGTATGGATGAACTGTTATTGCTAGTTGGGGCATTTGGTGTCCATGCCCTCAAACTATACTTCACATTTGTGGCATTATCTTAGATTGGGGAGTGAGAATAAAGGTAATAAGATTCTGTGTGTAATTTAGTTGACAACCTTATGGTCTATCTAGTTAGCAAGAAATACGACTGTATTCAAAGGAAGACCATTCCATGTGGAGTCAATGTGGCAAGAAGCCTTATAGAAATTTTGGTCATGAGTTCAATGTCTCTACAAAAATTTAACTTTCCCTTTCTATAAGTGAATTAGACAACCAAATTACTATATCAAAAGTTTAATAAGGAAAAAAAGGATCTTAATCTCTTGTGACTCATCAATTTGTAAAATTTAGAATGTGGTTTTTTTTATATTATAAATTATGTTTTGGTTTTATGATGTAAATATTATAACCGGTACTAATAATATTAATTCTTTTGATCAATCCTGTGATTAAAAGAATCTATACTTTTCCGAATGAAATTTTACCTTAAAAAAAAAAAAGTACATCATATATGTAACTTTATTTTCAATTTAAACGAATAAAAGAATAAACGTAGTAAGAATTTAGACACCGGAACAAGTGAAAAATAGATGCCATGAAAAAGAAAGATTGTACGATTTGCTTTTTTGTGCATCGAAATATTGAATGCTCGAAGCGCGTGTCCTCACGCTCCACTTTCGGCAGAGAGTGGGACCCACGTGGATGTGGGCATCACTGTGTCATCCCATGTTTCTTTTGCATGGAAGCAGCTATGATAAGATTCATTACATTATTCTCTCTCTCTCTCTCTCTCTCTCTCAATTTCCAAATGTTCTGTCAATGATTCTCTTACATGGCTCTTCGCTGAAATCCAAGTTCATATTTTGCAGCTTTGCTTTACTGCATCCTTGGTAGTTGGTACCCACCAAAATTTTTCAATCTTTTTCTAAATTCTAATTTTCACTCTGATTTTTGCTTTTTGGGCACATAACTGCTTTTGGGTTTGATCCAAGTTTTGTTTTTGGGCTAATTGCTCAAATAAAAATTGCAACTTTCTAAAAACGATTTTTGCAGCTGGGTGATCTATCCCTTCCTTGAAATTTGCCTCCTTTGCTGTAAATTTGATTGCTTTCTGCATCTCCACGCACACACTCGCCCACTGTGTCTCTCATTGGGTTTTGAACAGTGTCTTTTGGCTTTCACCTTCACCTTTCAACTATTGCTATTATCTTTTTGGATAGTGGATGCTCTTTTTCTTTGATTGTTTTGGAGTTTGAGCTGGTTTTCCCTCTTCAATTTTTAGTTCTGTCTGCTGTGGTTTCACCAATATTGTTCTCCTCACATTTTCCTCAGATCAGATGCAATTTTTGTTTTCTAGTGTGTCCAGATGAAAATTGATGTTGACATTTCATAGTTTTGATAGTTATCATCTCCACCGCTTCTTTAGATGTTAGTCCATTTTTTTTAATGTGTTGTTACACACAATCATGTTTTTCTTGTGGGAATTGTTGCTAGGTTTGTTATGTTAATTCATTTATTGTTTATTTAATACACTTGGTGTTTGATGAATTCACAGATAGAGCTTCAGCGCAGTATTTCCATAAAGTGAAAGCCAAGTTCAGATAGATTTGGGATAATGGGGGCCTCAAGCTCCAAAATGGAAGATGATAAGGCATTGCAACTATGTCGTGAGAGGAAGAAGTTTGTGAGGCAAGCACTTGATGGACGTTGCTCACTAGCAGCTGCTCATGTTTCTTATATTCAATCACTGAAAAACATAGGAACAGCTCTTAGAAAATTCACAGAACCTGAGGGACCAATTGAGCCTTCTTTGTACACCAGCACTAATGCAACACAAGAGCAACCACTTGCTTTAACTGAAAGGACCCTCTCATTCTCTTCACCATCTGTGTCACATCACATAGATGAAACCTTCTCTCCAACTCCCTCTCCTCCTAGCTCTTCTAGTAAGTTCAGAGCAAATCATATGAAACTTAGTAGTATTTCTTCTAAGAAAATTGAAGAAAAACCACCTGTACCTGTTTTAGGAATAGTAACATCATCAGGTACTACTACTACTACTGCACAGAATGCCAGTGTAATGTCTGAAACAGCAGCATTTGGAGATTCTTCTCTTCCTGCTGGAACTCCACAGTGGGATTTCTTTGGTCTCTTTCACCCCATTGACCATCAATTCTCTTTTCAAGATGGGAAGGGTATGCATCAAGATATTGGTAATGTTGATGATATACAAAGACTAAGGGACGAGGAAGGAATTCCTGAGTTAGAAGATGATGAAGAGAAGGCTTCATCTCATGGAAGGGAACACTCTAGGGACTCTGAAGATGAATTTGATGAAGAGCCTACTGCAGAAACTCTAGTCCAAAGATTTGAAAACCTAAATAGATCTAACAGTCACATTCAAGCAAATGTTGTACCTGCCCCAACTAAGCCTGTGAAAGGACATTCAGCTTCTGAAGTTGAATTAGTGAATGGAGAAAAGGGGAACTCTGCTAATTTGCCTCCATTAAAAACAGCAACTATGGCAGCTTTGCCTCCACCTGAAACAAATAAACCAAGGGTGAAGGGAAGTCATAGTGAAAACAAAGTCACCCCTAAGAATTTCTTTTTAAGCGTGAGAGATATTGAACTGCTCTTTATTAAAGCTTCAGAATCAGGCAAAGAGGTTCCAAGGATGCTTGAAGCAAACAAGTTTCACTTTCGTCCGATATTCCCAGGAAAAGAAAGTAATCTTTCTGGCTTTCTTCTTTTCTTTCTATCTGGCTTTGAATCAGCTATCATCCAGGAATATTCAATATTAGCAGTTCTTACTTTTTAGTATAAGTAAAATACAATGATGAGATTTAGAATGGCAATTTTTTTACCATATTCTTGCTCTATTTAAGATACATCTATACACTCGGCCAAAAATAAGAGAAAGGGATCTACCCTATAGGCTAAAGACACTCCCTATATGATTGTCCATTAATTAACTAAGATATGGTACATTTTTTACTAAAGTATCTTCTTGTTGTTGATATCCTTGGGGTTTGAAAGAACACTTCACTTTTTTGTTTCAAAGAGGCTTTGGGAAGTTTCTTTTCGTCGCTGTGTAATTTATTTCAAAATGAGATGCTTTAAAATTTTAACCAGAGAATTCTTATTTGTAACAGATGGTTCATTGGTATCCTCCTTTTTGAAGTCATGTTTCTCATGTGGGGAAGACCCAAGCCAAGTCCCAGAAGGTAATTTGAGTCATTTTTACTGTTGATCTTTCATGTTTCCTAGACATTGCTGAGCTGACCTTGTTGGGTTGAACCGATCTTCTTGTTAGTTCTGAAACTGAAAGTATTCCCTAAGAATACACATTTTCCATCAGCAGGAGTGATGTGAATTGCAAATCCTGTTATGAAATCTGGCAATTGTTGGCGTTGTTCAAGACTCAAGATATTGTTGAATATTCTGGATTCTGTTATTAAATCTGGCTATTGTGTATTTCCTACTTATTTTAAAATTCATCTGAGTTCCTTTTAAATACTGCAACATAGCAACAGAATTCTTTTGTATGCCATTAAAAGTGAAACTCATTACAGAAGATAAGGTTATACTAGACCATCTGATTCTGAAGCTTCTTTTACATGAAATGCATCCTATCTTTTTATTTTATTTTTAATTTAGATATTCGTTGCTGTTTAAAGCTGTCTTTTGAAATCAAGATCTAACTTTTCCTTCTTCACATCTTCCTAGAACCTGCTCAAAATTCGGTTAAATACTTAACTTGGCATAGAACTGCATCATCTCGATCCTCTTCATCCAGAAACCCTTTAGGAGCAAGCTCAATAGACAATGCTGAGGACCATACAAATAATCTCTTTGATAATACTTGTATGATCGCTGGAAGTCATGCATCAACCTTGGATAGGCTATATGCTTGGGAAAGGAAACTTTATGATGAGGTGAAGGTACGATGTAGTTCTTATCTACAATTTTGTCAACCTTTGTGTATTTTCTGTATGTTACATTTTGAATGATAATAGGATGTTGCAGAAGTCATGTTTCAATCTTAGACTACCTAAAGTTATTCTGTTGACAGTTAAATAATTTGAATAAATAGGTACATGTTATAGAATTCGGCTATTTCTATGTCTGTTTGCTAATATCATTGTTTATTTCTACGAGTAGGCTAGTGAGATTGTAAGAAAGGAGTACGACATGAAGTGTAAAATCTTAAGGCAACTGGAATCAAAAGGAGAAAAGACCTCCACAGTTGATAAAACACGTGCTACAGTCAAGGATCTGCACTCAAGAATCAGAGTTGCAATTCATAGGATAGACTCTATATCAACGAGGATTGAAGAGTTGCGGGACAAAGAGCTTCAGCCACAACTTGAAGAGTTGATTGAAGGGTATGATTGTGTAGGTTTTGCTTGTTTATAGAGTATCTATCTATCGCATGCTGACATGTATTGCCTTGATAATACCAGAGTGGGATAAAAGGTGCACCAAGATTCCAAGAAGAACAAACACGAAATTCCATAAAAAAGTTTATTAGGAAGTTTCTATTGATATTTTTTGTAAAAGTTGCTAATATTTGATAAAGTTCTTAATTTGGTGAATGTTTTTCTACTAAAGGCTATAAATTTATTAAATGAAAAAGAAATAGTCAATAATCAAAAAGCTACTGAAATACATTATTTTGCTTTTGCGGAGGTCATTATCAAGCTCGGGAGACAGAATTATACCCTTGTTTAAATTCTTATGATTTTTTTATAGAGCATAACAGCAAAAGCAAGGAATCATTCCTCCTAAACTCCCTTGCACTTTGACACTCACCAACATGACTCATTGAACTTAATAAATGGTGCATATCGACTCCCTATAGTGGATTTTCTGCACGTAAAACCTTGTAGAGTTTTCTATGGAAATAGTCTAGACATCAAGAACCTTTTTTCTAAATTAGGAGTAACTTTGTAGTTAGCTTGTAGAAAATTGATTGTGCAAGATTGCCAGTTTTCTATTGTTACTCGCTGATGCAGTACAATCAACCTTTGAATGCCAGTTTATTGTGCTTGGATTGGTAAGCAACTAATGTTTCCAATTTTCATCGTCAGTCCGGAGAGATGGATGATTGACACATGTAAACTTATGTTGATTGGTATCAGCTTCTTGCTTTTGTATTTCATCTGTTTCTGTTTTGCTTTGACAGATTGAATCGGATGTGGGAAGTGATGCACGAATGCCACAAACTTCAGTTTCAGATCATGTCAGCAGCATATAACAACAGCCATGCTAGAATCACCATGCATTCTGAATTACGAAGACAGATTACCTCCTATCTTGAAAATGAACTTCAATATCTGTCATCAAGCTTTACCAAATGGATTGGCGCTCAGAAATTCTATCTGGAGGCTATAAATGGATGGCTTCACAAATGTGTTCCTCTCCAACAAAAATCATCCAAAAGAAACAGGAGGCCTCAACCTGATCTCCTTAGACGTTTAGGCCCTCCAATATATGCCACCTGTGAGGTCTGGTTGAATAAACTTGCTAACTTACCTGCAAAGGATGTTGCGGATTCGATTAAGAGTTTGGCCGCGGATACTGCCCAGTTCTTACCACACCAAGACAAGAACCAAGGAAAAGGTGCCCATCCTCATATGTCAACATGGAAGGCTGATATTGGTGGTGAATCAGCAGATGGTTTATTGAGAGATGACATATCAGAGGACTGGGTTACAGGTCTTGATCGATTTCGAGCAAGCTTGATTCGATTTCTTGGTCAATTAAATAGTTTGTCTGGCTGTTCTGTCAAAATGTACACAGAACTTAGACAAGACATTCAGGATGCCAAGAGTAAGTACCAGCGATTAAATTCTCAGTCTCAAAATGGACATTTGAATTCTCAGTCTCGAGATGGTAATCAGAATTCTGAGTCTCAAGGTTGATCCATCAAAGTCACAATCTCAAGAGGTTTGGGCTGAAAATAAACATCCACACAACAACAGAATTACGATGAAACATTGTGGAATTCCAGAATTATAGTTTTGTGTTGAAGCATACAAGTCCACAGGATGGAGCATTTGTACATGATAGGATGTAATAAAGTCATTACGGATTGCCACGCTTATTTGTTAATTTAGATTCTGATGGGATAAACTTCTTCAGAAACACTTTTGGGAGAGAAAAATAAGAAGAAAAAAAGAGATAAGTTTTTTCATATGTTAAAATTAGCTTAAGTAGAAGTTATTTCTTATTAGATTTTCCAAAATCTTGTTTTTAACATATATAAAACTAGTTTTAGTTTATGAAAAAACTTATTTTAATTTTTCTTCTAATTTTTTTTCTATTAGAAATATTTCTGGATAAACTTATCCAAATACATCTTTAGGACCTATTTGGCTAAGCTTCTCTAGAAGTACTTCTAGGAGAGAAAAATAAAAAAAGAAAATCGAAATAAGTTTTTTCACAAGTTTAAACTAGTTTATATATGAGTTAAAAATAAAATTTTAAAAAAACTAATAAAAGAGAGCTTCTACAAATTAACTTATGGATAAAAGTTAATTTTAGTTTATAGAAAAATTTATTTCATTTTTTTTCTTATTTTTTCTCTCCTAAAAGTACTTATGAAGAAGATATCCAACCAGACTCATAGTTCTTTAAAGAATAGAATAGAAGGGAGCTTGCTCTGGAGAGATTATGAATGGGTGATTAAGGATTCAGTAAGAGGTGTAAGTACTAGGTTCTGTGGTGAAGATTTGGGTGCAAATTTTTGCTAATAAAGGGTTTCTAGCAGGACTTGTACTCTCCTCCTGGTTTTCCTTTGTGTCATTTTTTCATTTATGTTATGTGTATATAATTATTGTTTAATATACTTATTTGAATTTTGGTCAAGAGGAAACTTTGGTATTTAACCGAAACGAATGAAGTTGCATGACCCATGTTGCAGACCTTTGAATTTTATAAAGGAACAATCAAAGGCAAGTAACCTCACTGATTTTCAGCATTTTCGTTTTGGACAACTTGCGTTTAGACATGCGCGTGTTTATGCAACTGTTAGGAAATGAGTGTGATCTTCTTGGCAACTTGTCTCAGATGCATTGAATTACAGCCTTTATTACTTTGTAGAAATGCTGTCTAAACATGAGGATTAGACTTGGTGTATGCTTGTAAAATTGGTTTTGAAGTCAAATAATTTATGTTTGAACATTTTTGTTTTGAAAGCAAGTTTGAATTAAAATTGTAAAATTTTCAATTTCACCGAGTCAAGCTCTACTCTCTAAATTCTGAATATTACATAGGCTTAGTTAGGGAATAATGCTTGCATATCTCCAAGAATTCTAAGATATATTAAAAAGTGACACCACTTTTGTATCTTAAGCACTAGGTATAAAGATAAGAGTATAACCGTAAATATTATGCGAGATTATCTTCTAAAATCATGCAATACTATTAAACTATCTATATATATTGGGAAAAATCCAAGTCCCACATCGACTAGAGATTAGGCAATTGAATAATATATAAGTGGAAAGCAACTCTCACCTTACAAGCCGGTTTTGTAGGATTGAGTTAGGCTTAATCCACTATTCTAACATGGTATCAGAACCATTTAGATCCACTTTAAAAATGGGCCACCAACCATTGATGCATGTCTCATAGGCATGAGGGGGTGTATTGGGAAAAACTCAAGTCCCGCCAATCCTAGATCATTAAAAAGGGCCACCCACCATTTATCCACGTACCAAGCCCAATAGTGCTGGACGTGAGGGGGTGTATTGGGAAAAACCCAAGTCCCACATCGACTAGAGATTAGGCAATTGAATAATATATAAGTGGAAAGTGGAAAGCAACCCTCACCTTACAAGCCGGTTTTGTAGGGTTGAGTTAGGCTTAATCCACTATTCTAACACCACTTTTGTATCTTAAGCACTAGGTATAAAGATAAGAGTATAACCGTAAATATTATGCGAGATTATCTTCTAAAATCATGCAATACTATTAAACTATCTATATATAAGAGACTAGGTATCATTTTATTATAATCTAATTCTTAATCAAAACTTTCCCTAACTTGAGTGTTAGGGTGTTTTTGTAAGTACTCTATTATTGTGAGTATTAGAACCACGAAGACGTCATCTCGTCATCGAAACACTCACAAATTACAATAAGAGAAATTATTATTATGCCTAAACATATTTTTAGTCTCTCAAATTTAAAGTAAAATTATTTTTAATCCCTCATTTAAAATTAATTTTTTCAATCATGTTATTTAAAAATCATCTTATTTTAATTCTTACTAAAATTTATTTAAGAAATCGATCAAATACTATTATATAAAATCTATCACAAAATCTAAGTACTAGTGTTCATATCAGTAAAAACACTACATTAAACTTAATTAATATTAAATAATTATTTTAATTTGCCACTTTCAAATATGTTATTAATGATCGAACTAAAATAAGATTTGTGAGAATTATAGAGGATTAAAAAGTAATTTTAAATTTATGATATCAAAAATTTATTTTTTAAATTTAAAAAAAAAATTAGTTCTTAAAATTATCTCTTAGGTTTAACAAAATAAGGATACTTTCTGGTTTCTTACTTTTTTCACCCTTCCTCCCAATATATATATATATAAACACTATCACCATTTCAATACTAGTTTTTTTAGGGTAGGGTGGGGGAGAGGGGAAACAAAATTAATGTGTCACTCCATTAATTTCAAATACTCAACAATCTAATTAATGTCCTCTTGTGTCTGTTTTTTTTATTTTTTTATATTAATGGCTAATTTTGAGTATTATTATTTGGTAGTGTGAGTACCCATTTATTACTAGACTAGGGTTGCCTTCAGATAAAAAGGCTTGAAGGGTAAAACGGCTCGTAGGGATAACATGACTACAAATCCTTAAAACCGATGTAATGTCCTAAAAAGTGTTTACAGTGTTTTACTCTCTGGTCGTGGCTTCTTTCAAGGCCCTTAAATCTTCTTTTTAGGCACAAAAATATTAAAATAATTTTATTAAAAGAATAACAGCCTTTATCACTGCATTATTTGTTTGTAAGAGTGACTGTTAATCGAATGTGATTTTGGATGTAATCAAAACATGACAAAAAAAAAATATGGACTAATTGTCTTTATACCATTAAAGTAACATTCAATATATTATTTGTTATTGGAAATTTTTTAAAAAAATTTAATTAAAAAAATTTATAATTAGATTCTTCATTTTTTTATAATATTGTAATTTGTTTTTTGAGATTAGAAATTTATTTAAATTCATAAAATTTTGTAAAATTTTATTTATCTTTTAAAAATTACATATGATTTGTATTTCATGTCATCCCCCACATATATCAAGTTTTAATCCCTTCTCATAAAGACTTCCCACTAAATCCCTCATTCATAAGAATTTTGGAATAATAAAAATTTTTAACGGACAATGGTTAAATCAAATATGTATAAATAATGACATGAAATAATAATTTAATATGTTTGTTTAAATATAAAGATATTTTGTGAAATATCACAGATTGTGAACAAAATTCTAAATTCAAGGATTAAATTACAAAAATATATTAAAAAAAAATGAAGAACCTAATTACAATTTTTTTAGTTTAGGGATCCAATTAAAAATTCCCAAAAAATTCATGAACTAAATGATGAATTAAACCTTAGGAAGCATTTAGTAGACAAAAAATTTTCTTATGTCTATGAATGATGATTTTTTGAATGATGAAGTTTTCTATTTGAATGGTCATAAATATATATTTTTTTAAATGCTTATAAATATTATCTGTAAATCAAAGATTTTTACTATATTAAATAAATAAATAAAAATAATATGACGTTTTTATCGTATTAAAATTTTATTTTTAATTCGAAAACAATAAGGAGAACAATTTTGTGAAAAAATTGTGTAAAAATTATTCTCAAAAAATAATATTTGTTATTAATGTTATTTTTTAAATACAATAATAAACTAAACATAAAAAAGCTTAACACTTTCAACTTTAGATTCTCATGAAAATAAAAATTTTCTATTCACCGAACACTTCCTAAAACTAATAATGAGAGATGTTTGGACGGACTCGATATTTATCTAGTCATTAATCAAATTTTAAGATGAATAGTTAAAGGATATGTTTGAAACAAAACTTGAATTTATAGTAAAATTAATTAAAAATAATTATATTAATTATTTTTTAAATTTTGATAATTTATCTTATGTTATTTATAATTAAGATTATAGATTGTATTTGTTATTTTAAGTATTTAATAGGATTTTTTTACATGGACATAATAGGATAGATAATTAAATAAGGAAATTTTTGTTGATTTTTCTGTTTTAACTTAGTTACATGTACAGAATCAGATTCTGAATTATCAAAGAGGATATTACTATACTCTGATAGAGGAAAAGAAACTCTAATAATAAAAGAATATACTTTTCCGAATCTATATAGAATGGCATCGGAGTAGGGTGGAAACAAATTTTCTTCTTCTTCTTCTATTTTATCCATGATGGATAGTTATTATGAGTGCTTCCATTTCTATTTCCTTTAAATATCATATATACTTGTATTTGTTTTTATATTTATTTAAAAATTAATTAAAAATTTTAAAATATATATTAAAAATGAGAATTTTAAGATACAGTAATAATTACAAAATTATATTAATTAAATTTTATTTTATAAATTTAAAATTATATAAATGTCAAATAAATTTTAAAAAAAATAAATTAAATTTCTAAATATTTAAAATAAATATGAATACGAACATATATGTATACTTATTCTATTCTCACATATGATTTAATAGATCAAGTATTATCTGTATTTATATTCATTCTAGTTAGATATTTTTCATCAAAATCAGAATAAATTTAAATATTATTTACGAATATGAATCTAATCTTATAATAAATATAAAAAAAAGGAAGCTTCACCATGAATAACTGATAGACATAAATCTAACTATTTAAGATATAACGAATGGTGCATAGTGAATTACACTTTTAAAAATGGATGGTGGTGGTCTTTTATGAAGGAAGAAAATAAGTTATAGTTAACATCAAACTTACGAGTTCAACGCAGATGCATTGCCCCAAATTTCTTCTGTTTAGGTACAATTAGGAAGGATTCTCATCTAGTGGTAAAAATTTTCCTATTATTTAAATCATTTTTATTACTTATAATATACAATGTTTCATTATTTTAATCTCTATATTTTCTTTAAGTCTTATAATGTAATGTAATGACGTGACTAACATCAGACAATAGCTATTATGTTTGGTGAAGAATTAAGACGAAAATCTTCAAATATAAGAAACATGTAAATCAACACTTTTGCATTTTTATAGGAATTAAAATATTGAATCAGGTACTATAAACATTGGAATGAGATGAAAATTTGAATTATATCATCTTCAACAGAGTCAAGAAAACTTACAAGAAATCCACCTCACCTTTTAAAAAAAAATTATTTTATTAACGTATTTTAAAATTAATCATATATTAAATTGTTAATTATATTTAATTTAACTAATATAAAAATTAATAAACAATAAGAACTAAATGTACTTTAATATATGCACCCCAAAAAAGAATGTACCAAAAAATTACACTTTAATAAATTGTCTAATTTAATTTTATTATTTAATTATTACAAATCACAATAACTTATATTTTAAATAATTATAAGAAAGGAAATATATATAAATTTGGGACGAGAATTTGTATCTTGACGCGGAAACCTGACCTCACTTTTATAAAGCAGAAAATTTCCAAATCGAATTTAGGTAATTAAAGTGAGTTTTTTTTTTTTTTAATTTTTTTTTGTCAAAGACAGATAAGGAGGATAAACAAAATATAGTTAAAATTTAATTTTTATGTACAACTTAAAAAATACTAAGCTAAAATTAAAAAAAAAAATAACAAATACCAAAACAAAAAACATTAATAAAAGAAGTAAAATGGAAACAACTTTATATTATAAATACTAAAATAAAAATAAGTCATTAATATGAGGGATAATGAACTTAGTCTCCTTAAAGTAAGGCTAATTCAAATATGAGACTAATAAGATTTTTGTTTTAAAATTTCTTTTAAAAAGATTATTTTGTATTAATATTTATATAATTTTTTAAAGTTCATAACTCAAAAGTTACTTTTTATATTTTAAAAAATTCACTCTAAAAAATTCATTTTTACTCTTCAAAAAAAAAATAAAAAATAAAAATAAAAATAATTAAATATAATTATTTTTTCAAAGTTCATTTCTAAATTATTTTTTTTAATCAAAAGATATTATTATTATTTTTAAAAAATTTACTTTAAAATTTACTTAAAATTTAATAACATATTGGATCGATCTTATTTTAAAACAGAATCTTGAATTCAAATCTTGTGTATAGAAAAAAATATGATTAAGAATTTTTTTTACTAAAAATAGTAAATTAATTATTGACAAAAATGTATACAATATAATAGTTATAAAAAAAATCTAAAAAGTGATTTGTAAAAAATAAATATAATCTAGCTATATTTGAAAAGAAGAAAGTAGCTTCTTGCACCACGTAACACTTGAAATTTACTTTGACTTACAATGTGTTTGTATTCACGTTTCGGATATGAAAATCCACGTTTAACGTGGAAGCTAATATAGCTTATACGTTAAACGTGGATTTTCATGTCTGAAACGTGAATACAAACACACCATTATGCAAATATGTAATTATTTGTACACGCCGTTGAGTTGTGAAGAAAAAACTTTGCAATGACTTCCAATTTCCAGCTTCCTACAATGACAACGTGGAAAGAGTAAATTCTGAAATATTAGATGCACCCAAAATTATGCTCAGATACTTTAATATTTCATCCTGTGCTTATTATAAATTATTTTTTTTATCAAATCAACGAATCAATATAAATATTTTTTCTCATTTGTTTTATTAAGTTTATAAAATAATATCATCATTTACCAATTTTATTCTTTTTATTTATCATTAACTTTTCATGAGAGAAATCAAAATATTATTTAATTTAAGAGATAAAAGAAAAATACATTCTCTCAAGATGTTTAATGGGAAAAAATTAATATTTTATAAAAATTATAAAATGTCGTATAAAAATGATCATTAATTTCTTCTTTTTTTTACACTCTTAATTTTTCTGTCTTGTAATGAAGATAGGAGGGAGTAATATTTATTTAACACAATATTAATTTTTAGTGCACGTTAATAATATTTATTTTAATAAAATTATTTTTTAACTTTTTAACCAAAGTTTTTAAGATATAGATTAATATCTGCCTTAAATTATATAAGTGTAGTGTGAATTATAAGGAGCGTTTGGGTTAGGTATAAGAGATTCCTTCTAAGTATACACAACCATTTTTTTCAACATAAATCCCGCGAATTGATTTGGCAAACACTAGACCTTTTGCAAATTGATTTGACCAAAGAAACACATTTGTTTAGTAAAATCAAATAAAAAAGGCTAGTGACTTAGATTAGTGAGTAAAAATAAAGTATTAAGTGATTTTTATATTCATTAATAAAAAAAGTAATAATTGACATTTCGATATTTGTTTGATTTGTTATGTATGTGAATATCTTTTTAAGATCAAACATTTCCTTTTTAATGAAAGTAATAATGTTTTAGATGAGTATGTCTATTATAAATAATATAACACAATTGTATATTTAATACTTTAATTTAAAATTATTAATTAAATTAATATTTAAATAAATTTTTAATTCATATAAAATGAATAAATTTTATTTATTTTTTATTTTAAAAATTAAAATTATTATTTTAATCTTTCAAAATAGATGATATTTATATACTTTAAAAATAATAATTTTAGATTTTAGAAAAATAAAAATTAAAGAAAAATATTTTTACAAAAATCAAAACAATGTTTATAAAATTTTAAAAAATTATAAAACTAAAATAAAAAATCACACATTTTCTATGAATTAAAAACATATTTAAAACTATTAAAACATTATTTACTAACTAATTCACGTGCTCTTTGTTTGTTTTGTACATGAATGTAATATCAATAATTAATTATTATTATTATTTTCGATTAACAATTCATACTACTTTAGAGGAGTGGATTGAATGTTCCAACAAGTCTATGACATTTGGATTTGGTTGTACAGTCACATTAACTAAAATTAATTATAAATAGAAACTACTTTGTTTTGCTAGTTGCTGCATCAACTTTAATACTAAAAATAATTCATTAATGTCGTTCTCTCTATGTATATATGGAAATTCACATAAAAATACAAAAGAATAAATATTTTTCATCGTTTATTTAAATGAAAAATAATGACTAATTTTTTGAAGTGAGATATAATTAAGAGATTAATCTTATTTCATACATTTGTATGTTTATTTTCCCCTTTACTCGAATCCAATCGAATCATAAACACTCCAGAATTGGGATTTTGGAAGAATATTAAATGTATTTGATTTATGATCAAAATATAATGCATTTTTTCATTAAAAGAATTGTATTTGGACGCTATATATTTTTTTTTGTTTTTTTAATAATTAATTGTTAAGAATTTAGCATGGTCGATAACATTTTTTAATAGAACTTTTTATTAGTCTATTTTCAAATTTGGTTAAGAAAAAATAAAAATGATTTATTATGTCAAAATTAAAAATATATTTAAAAGAGTGTGTTATAGAACATGCTAATAATGTTTCTAATGTTAAATATTTCTCCCATATTTTTCATTTCTCACTTTTGAAGGATTTTTTTTATCTGTTATTTTATAATTTTAAAATAACACTAATTATTGTTTTCTATTTTGAAAAAACAGAGAAATAATTTTATATAGAGTGTCAAAATAATAAAATAAGAAACATAAATAACATTAAAAATTATAAATAATTTGAATATAAAAAAATAAATTAACTATTCTTCTTCTTACCTTGTGTATAATAACTTTAGAAACAGTAAGTACAGAAAAGAAACTTATTTTTTATAAACATTTTTAAGAAAATTGATTCAAAATAATAAATACATTAAGTGTTAGGATTCTTTAAAATCTTACGTGAACATGGGAAAAAAAATCATTTTTAATTATTTGTAAAAAAAAATAGTTATCTTTAAAAAAAATGTAATTTTAAAGAAAGAGTGAATATAATTTTGTATAATGTATGCAAATATGGGTATAATTATATTAAATATAAAGAATGAATAATCTCAAGAATTAACGTTGGAGTCGTAAGTCCTAACTCTAAGAAAGCACGTTTTGATCACCAAAGATCCACACCATAATTACAATGCTTAGAAACAATCTTAGCATTCGCCGTTAGCGCATTCACCGTCACGTCACAATCCACCCTAACGGTAATCTTCCACGTCTTAACGGACCCCACTTTTATTTTAACCGGCGCCCTAATCCTAACGGTCAACGGCACTTTCTGTTTGGTCACGGCGTTCACCAACGCTCTACGGTCCTCGCTCCTCAGCACGATTCCGTTACCCTTTAACACCGTCCGAAACACCGTCACGTTATTTGACGGCTGGTAAAACGCGGGCAGAGCGCCGTTAGAGAGCTCCACGTCAGCGTAAAAGACTTCGGCGTGGCTATCCTTCAAGTAATGAATTCCGATCTTGTCGTTAGGGTTATCGGCCTTCACGGTGACATTGAACACCGGCGAGATCGCCGCCGCTGCCGACGCCGATGTCAGGTTTATTCCTCGGACCGCGATGCTTTCGATGCCGTAATTCGGCGCCTCGGGGCGGAAAACGAGGTAGAGGATGCCGGCGGCGATGCCGAGGAGCACCACGAGGACGACGATGAGTCCGATGAGCCAGCAGAGGCAGCGGCAGCATCGGTTCGGACGGTGTTTCCGGCGAGTGTATTGGTCGTAGCGGCGGGCGTTCTCCGGCGGAGGGACGCGGTAGATTTGGTCCTTGGGAATGTGGATGACGTAGGATACCGGCGGATTCTGCGACGGCGGAGGCTGTAGCGGAGCGGCGTTGGGATTCTTCGGCGGCGGCGGTTGTGATTCTTCGGCGGAAGCGGGAGGCGTGTTGTCAGGGTGAACTCGGTCGGCCATTGAGTGAGTGAGTGACGAGTCAAGAAGGAATCTGCAAATGCAAATGCAAATGAAATGAAAATGGAAATGGAAATTCAAAATTGGCGAAGGAGAGGACTGAGGAGAAGAGTGAGTGAGTTCCGTAGCGTGGGAATGAGTGTTTAAGAAGCAAATGGTTTACGCGTGCAATGAAATAACCCACGCGGCTTATAAATACTTTAAATGAAACCAAATCTAATTAATTAATATTAATATAACAAATAATCCATAAATATTATTTTATTTACAAAAAAAATTATTCAATTCTATTTATTTTTAAAAAATTATCGAATACTGGTATTATCTTTGTCCCATAATAAGTAAAGTACAGTATGCGTTGATTTTTTTCCAAATAAAAAAATATAATTAGAAATATAAATAGATATATGATAATTTTATTATAGTAAAAAAATAAAATTACACTTATAAAATTGTTATGAAACGGAGAGTAACTTTTGAAAATTATTAAATTAAGGCAAAGTTTTTGTTTTGATGATTAGTCAGAAAGAACACACCGATCTTAAATCTTAATGCTGCATTGCACGATGGAAACATTTATAGATGTCTCACGCTTGCCCACATATTTTTTAAATCTTCCAAAAGTAATTAATAAAATTGTGATATATGATTATTAATATAATTTAATTTCGACATATATTTGTTAAAAAAAATTATATGAATACTGAACCAAAATTTTAATTCTAAACAATATTATCAATTTAATTTCCTATTTGTATACACATTTTTAAATTTAAATAAAATTTATACATAAATAAAAGTTAAATATAGGATCCCGTTTATTTTTTAAAAAAAATATTTTTAAGAGCAATTTTCTACTTTTCCTTATGTTTTTTTTTATGTTTGTTTAAATTTTTTAAAATATTTTTCCATTTTTAAGAAGTAAATAGTTTTTTTTTTTACTTTTTTAAAATTACTGTTTTAGAATTTTTTTTTTAATTCTGGAAATTATCCCGTAATACTTATTTAAATTAAATAAGAATAAATTAAAGAGCTAAATTTTTAAAACTATGAAAATAACTTATTTAAATCGAATTCTATCATCCTTATCTATACGGCATGTTAAATTTCAAATTTAAATTAAGATTGCATTTTTCATAGAATTTAGTTTATTTAAAAAAGGTTTATTATCAAATTTAAATTTTATGAAAAATAAATTATCTAATTTATCAAAATTAAGAAAAATAGTTAATTTAATTTATAACAATAAATTTGTCATATTTTTTTTTCTAAAACTATATTTATATTTTTTTTCTTCTAATTAATATATATTCATATATCTTATAACCAATTAGAGTGCATATCATATATTATTTATCTTTCTTAATTAATATTTTTTTTAATAATTAATTACTCAATATATTTCATAGTTGACTTAATGAAGATGAGAATAATTCTTAGAAATATATTTGATTAAAAAATGAAAATTCACGTATACAATATAAGAATATCAAAAGAATGAATAGTTTAAGAACAATTATATATATGTCCATGGAGGTTTTCATTAATGAATTGGTTGTTTGAAACCAAACCAGACGACCCATCTGATATATGAATGACATTTTATTGAAATTGGTAATGATCATGGAAGAAAGACAAAGCAATGAAAAGAAGAGAATGAAAACTATAAGAAAGAAGAATGACTTACTTGATGGAGGAGCAATGAAATTAAAGAGATTGAACACTATTCTGAATAAGAAAGGGATAATGATGAGAGGGGAAAGGAGTGAGGAATATATGTATTTATAATAAAGGAGTTAGTAAGAGTGAGAGGGCACGTCTTACTCATGGATTGTGGAATGGGCAATGGTTGGAAGAAGAAGGATACTTTTAATTAATATAAATTTATTTAATAATTTAATAATTAATAAACAAATGAGGGTACAGTTCAATGTGGGATCACTCACAGTTGGCAAAAGTTTAGAAAAAAAATAAAAAAATGAAATGAAAATGAATGGGTCAAGGACAAGGGGCGTTTGGTTTGTTCCATTTGGAGATATATTTTTCACTTTCTTTGATGTGATTGGCGTTTCCTCTTTTTATGCTCATCGCCGACTCTTTTTGTCTAAGAGTTAGTTGGCACTTTGCCACACGCGGTTTTCTTTCTTCTGGATTTGCCTCCATCTTTCCATCTTTTCCTTTTCTATGATTTTTTTTTATTACCATATGTGTTATCCTCTAAAATTTTCTAAATACATTTTGTTCCAGTAAATAACATAGAATCATTATAAGTAATAAATTATTTTTCTTTTGAATATTTAATGTAATTCTAATTTTCATACAAAACTCATTCAACAAATTTATTAATTGATGCTATTGTACCAATTCATAATGATTTATAAATATATGGTCTTTGTTTATATATATAGGCAAAGATCATATATATATACATATATATTATAAAGGAGATAGGAGATGGTAAAACTATTTTTTGTCTTTATATTTTTTATGAATCATTATATCTTTAAGAAAAAAAAAATTATTCATATTTTGTGAATAACCATTCACAATTACTTTTAAATTATTTTTTTAACTTAAAAAAAAATAAGAGGTGCGTTTTTTTTTTCCCTGCTAGCCGTTTATAAAATGGAGATCCGATTAAAGTTTTCCTAATTTTTTTTATCTCCTTTGTCTTGAAATGGTCACACTGTTTTTCTACCTTTTATGCTACGAACAACGTTTTCTCATATGATCTACATCTATTGAGTAATAAAAAATAAACGTTTTCCATGTTGACTATCTTTATCTAATCTACTCATACATTATATTATATTATTACTAAGAATAAATATTAATTTTGACAATTCCAATTAATTTAGTCATTCTTAGCATCTCAATTAGATATTTTGTATGTTTTCTTTCTTTCTTCGTTTAAACATGCTATTTGCACACTATTTTTACAACCAGTTATCTTTCAATCATGTTAAAAATTATTATTCTTTCATTTTTATTTGTAATTTGTTCTACGAAATCTTAACTCTCTATCTCTATCACAATGCCCTCTTCTATTTTTATTTTTAATTGAATTTTAATATTTTTAAAAAAATTATCAATAGTTAAAATTAGTCTTTTATTATAATCTAAATTTGTCACTGTAAATTTAAAACATAACCTATAAATTTAAGTATCTTTATTTATTATTATTCCAATCAAGAAAGACTCTCAAAGATAAATCTAAAGATTGAATATATATGCCTAGTTCAAACAAGTATGTATAATGTCTCTTTCTAACATGTCTAAAGGTTGATATTGTCTCAAGAGATGATAACAGATGTTCAGGAGCAACTCGACTCAAGAAGTCAACACAACAAGCTTTAAGAATGCAATTACAAATTTTAATTATAATATAATTTATATTAAAATTATTTATCTATTATAAATTCTAATTATAAAAATAAATACTTATAATTTTGTGTATAATAGAAAGACTAAAATACAATATTATTTTTAAATCAACACGACATTTTTGTGTTTTGTCTTACTCACTTTTAGATTTCAAATTTAAATTATTTTTTTAATAATCATATATTTTTATAATTTTAAATATGTTGAAGCTATATTTTGAAATTTTAACTAAATTAATGATATGTACCCCTTAAAAAAAATTAATATTTAAGTTTGACATTTCTCCTTATTAATTTAAAATATATCTACAATAATTAATACTTAATAGTTTATTTAAAAATTAAAATCATACCCATAATTAAGCCTTATATAAATAATAGCACTCGCCAATGCTCAATGAGTCATCACTTGAAGTGTAAGTCTAAAGGTGGGGGTGGTGAGGCAGCCTTAGAAATCGATATTAGTAAGGCTTACAACCATGTTCATTGGAACTTCTTGGTTGCTATGATGGAGAAGCTTGGTTTTGACATTCAGTGGATTAAGTGGATGACAATGTGTGTTAAAAATGTTACATACTCTATATATATCAATGAACAATGAGAAGGTTGGTCCTGTCGTTCCAAGGTGATTCGTTATCACCTTTCTTATTCCTTTTCTGTGCAAAAGGTTTGTCAACTTTGATTATTAGAGTTGAGGCTTTGGAACCATTCACAGTGTTAAAGTTTGTCGTAGAGCCCCATCTGTTTCTCACCTTCTATATGCTGACAATTATTTTCTATTCTTTAGAGCAAATTTGCAAGAATATGTACAACCTTGAAGAATATTCTTGAGATATATGTGAAGGCATCAGGTTACGCAATCAATTTGACCAAGTCTGAGGTTTATTTTAGTAGAAATACTAAGGAAATGGACCATGACTACATTGTGAATGTGTTGCAAATTCGATAGAATACGGGTACAAGGAAATATACGAGTTTCCCTTCTCTTACTGGTAGAAGTAAAAAGGCCACTTTCAACTTTATTAAGGAAATAATTTGGAGGAAGATCAATTGTTGGCGAGGTAAGAATCTGTCTATTGCTAGTTGAGAGGTGTTAATGAAAGCTTTTGCTTAAGCAATCGCAGCTTACACCAAGAGTATTTACCTTTTTCCTTTATCTCTTTGTGAGGAAATTGAGAGAATGTTCAACTCTTTTTGGTGGGTTGCATCCCATAGAGATCATTCAGGTATCAATTAAGTGGCTAGCTTATGAGAAAAGAGGATGGTGGTATGGTTTTTCATAATCTGTATTCTTTTAACTTAGCGATGCTCGAAAAACTTAGTTGGAAATTCATATCCTACTCGGATGCACTTGTTACCTGCATCTTCAAAGCTAAATACTGCCCAAGTGTGGACTTTATGGACTCAACGGTTGATCACAGCCTGTCCTTTTGTTGGAGGAGAATATGGAATTCTCGAGTTTTGTTGAGAGAGGGATACAGATGGCATATTGGTGATGGTAAGATGATCAACGTTTGGGCTCAACCTTGGTTAAGGAGCCCTTCTCAATTGTAGGTTACTACACAACCTCTTGTTGATCATATTAATCTTAGAGTTTCTAATCTTATTTTACTAGGAGAAAAAATGTTGGAAATATGCTCTTATAAATAACATGTTTAATTCTACTGTTACAACTATTCTTTACATTCCCCTCTTCCAATTTGTTAGATGTGATAAATGAGTCTAGCTCCTAGAGCATAATGGTCACTAACCAGTTAGATATGCATATAAATTTGTTATGAACAA